CTCTCTTCTCTTCTCTTCTCTTCTCTTCTCTTCTCTTCTCTCCTCTCCTCTCCTCTCTCTCCTCTCCTCTCTTTTCTTCTCTCCTCTCTCTCCTCTCTCTCCTCTCCTCTCTTTTCTTCTCTCCTCTCCTCTCTCTTCTCTCTCTTCTCTCCTCTTCTCTCCTCTCCTCTCTCTTCTCTCCTCTTCTCTCCTCTCTCTTCTCTTCTCTCCTCTCCTCTCTCCTCCTCTCCTCCTCTCCTCTTCTCTCCTCTCTCTTCTCTTCTCTCCTCTCCTCTCTCCTCCTCTCCTCCTCTCCTCTTCTCTCCTCTCTCTTCTCTTCTCTCCTTTCTCTTCTCTCTTCTCTTCTCTTCTCTCCTCTCCTCTCCTCTCCTCTCCTCTCCTCTCTACCCTCCCCTTTCCCCATCCCATAACCTCCCCTCTTCTCCCCAATCACTTCTTCTCTCCCCACTTCCCCTCCCCTTCTCTTCTCTCCTCCCTGCCCTCCACTCCTCTCTTCCTCTCTCCCCTCCCCTCTTCCCCTCCCCTCCGCTTCTCCCATACCTTCCCCCTCCTCTCTTCTCCCCTCTCTTCTCTTCTCCTCCCCTCTCCTTGTCCCCTGCCCTCCCTCCTCTCCTCCCCTGCCCTGCCCTGCCGTCCCCTCCTCTTCCCTTCTCCTCTTCTTACCACTCCCCACCCTTTAGGACTTCACATCTCACGGCCCTGAGAAATGGAGCCAGGCTTACCTCGGAATGACCATCAGTGACCTCCTCCAGGTTTTCCCTTCTCAACCTGAAGGTGCCGGTCCAGAACTCTTCCACGGAAAGCCGCCGTGGCCGGTGGAGTCTCCCGTGGCCTTGCAGAAGGTTGTCTCCACGACCAAAAACGGGACAGCAGCATCACCGGAACCCGAAGACCAGCAGCTCCAGAAATCTCTGGCCACTTGGAGTGAGGTGGAATACTCCCGGGTGTTGGTTATCAAAAGCGACCAGGGACCAGGCGGAACCTGGAGCGCTCCTCCTTCCTTCTGGTCCAGTGGCTGGGATCTGGTCAAAACACGCCCGGAATCGCCATTTCACCCACAGTTCTGGGTCCAGAATTTGACCTACGAGACTTTCTTAGACGCCAAGTCCTATAAGAGGGCGTCCCTTGAACCCGTGGGGGAGTTTCCACTCTTGGTTAGTCTGGTGACCGTAGATGAAGAGCTACACTCTGTGGAAAAATCACACCCCTAACCCCACTGCAAACAGACCAGAGGTGGTATTCAGCCAGTTCAGACCAGTTCTGGAGAACCAGTAGTAGAAATTTGGAGTAGTTTTGGAGAACCGGCCCATACAACCTCTGACTGGCCCCGCCCCCAACTATTCTCCGCCTCCCAAGTCCCAGCCGATTGGCTGTGTCTCCTTTGGTAGCCCTGCACAGGAGAAGGGAGCTGGAAAGCAGGTTAGTGGGGTAGGGAGGGAATGGGGATTTTGCAGTATCCTTCCCCTGCCACGCCCACCGCCACGCACACCAAGCCACACCACGCCCATTAAGTCACGCCCACAGAACCGGTAGTAAAAAAAACTTGAATCCCACCACTGAAACAGATCTCCTAAGACTTTACATCTCAGCCAACTCAGAAGTTGACCTGTGGAATAAAATATCCTCCTTCGGGGAATCCTCACATTGAGCTGTTTTCAACCGATGGGAAGAATTTGACACAGCAAGAATTCACGGTTTGGGAAGTTTTAAGAGAACCTCTTTTGGGGCTGATCGGAGCTGCTGAAAGCTCGCCTCTTTAAGATTTGCACCAAAAAAACCAAAATGTCATTTTCTCTTAGCATGTCAGCTTTGGAGTTTGCTGGTGTTCGTTGCCAATATCGCCCTGTCGATAGTAGTCCTTCAAATAAAGAGCAAAGTTTTGTGGGTTTTTTTGCAATAATTTTCTTATTTTTTTGTTTCAACAAGCATATAATCATGTGAATAGTGTGGTTCTGGAGTGTCTTACATTTTAAAACAAATATGAGAATAGTCTTTGTATTTAATACAATTGACAATCTTACAAACTTTGATATGAATACACATATTTTGTTAAATTATCGATCCTGATTATTCAATATCACAGTATGTTATTCTTATGTCAATCTTTATATTCTTAATATCACTCCTTTTACTACAGATATTAATAATCATATTTGCAGAGCAAAGTTTTTAAAAGGCATTCCGCTAGCCAACTTTAGTAGGCCAAGATTTAATGGACATGGGGAGAGGGACGACTGTGAACTTTCAGACTAAGTCCTTCACTTACAACCATTCGTTTAGTGACTGTTCAAAGTTACAACCGGAACATACAAAGATTCAGATCTATAGAGCCTATGTCTTGAGCACACGCTTGTACTGCAGTGAGTCTTGGACCCTGTCATGCCCCTGTCGGAGTCTGAATCCGAGGAGGAAGACTAACAGCTGACAAGGAGTGGGAATGTGGCTCCGTTGGCTGTGGAAGAAACTGGGGAAGGGCATAGTCTGGCTGGGCAGAGGTAGAGCAAGGGATAGGGAATTCAGAGGCACGCAGGCAGGAACAGAGAAGAGAGCAACGTGGGTTGCGTGGCTTACAGGGGAGGAAAGGGCCCTGATTCCCTTCATTAGCTACAGCTGGGAACACAGTGTATAAAAGAGGAAGCTGTGCACAGCAAGTTGTTGGGAGCAAACGTGAATTTATCTTGTATCGTGGTGGCTTATCTGTGTTCCTGGCGTCTTCCCAACTGTGTAAGTTTTGCCGTGCTTTCAAGTCTGAAATTCCTTCCCCTGCCTTGTCAAGTTAATTACTTCAGCTTGGTTTGTTTGGATTTTTAGTTACAGTCTGTATGTACCTTGTTTTGGGCTTAATTTTCTGCAGTCAAAGACTGTTCCTGGGAGAATTTTTCTCCAGTCTAGAAGGTAACCTGGACATTGGGGGCAAAATTGGAGATAATAAAAGGGACTCTTATTGCTTATTTGACTGTGTTGCCTTTGTGCCACGCCCCTTTGGGTCATCACAGATCCTTTATGCACGGCAGGAGAGAAAGTTGAACACCTTTCATAGGCGCTGTCTCCGACGTATTCTTGGCATCACCTGGCACGACAAAGTTGCAAACAGCACAGTCTTGGAACGTGCTGGAATTCCTAGCATGTATGTACTATTGTAACAGTGATGTCTACGCTGGCTTGGGCATGTCATGAGGATGGCTGATGGGCGGGTTGTATGTATGGGGAATTAGTGCAGGGAAAGCACCAGAGGTGGTCTTCAGCAGGTTCTGACCAGTTCTGAAGAACTGATAGCGGAAATTTTGAGTAGTTCGGAGAACCAGAAAATGCCACCTCTGACTGGCCCCACTCTCATCTATTCTCTGCCTCCCATTGAGTCCCAGCTGATGGGCTGGGTCTTCTTTGGTTGCCCTGCACAGGAGAACGGAGCTGGAAAGCAGGTTAGTGGGGTGAGGAGGGAATGGGGATTTTGCAGTGTCCTTCCCCTACCATGCCCACCAAGCCACGCCCACAGAATCGGTAGTAAAATTGAATCCCACCACTGGAAAGCACCCTAGAGGGAGATCCCAGCTGCAGTATAAGGACAACTGCAAGAGGGATCTAAAGCAGGGGTGTCCAACCTTGGCAACTTTAAGACTTGTGGACTTCAACTCCCAGAATTCCTCAGCCAACTGGCTGAGGAATTCTGGGAGTTGAAGTCCACAAG